TTTAATTGCAGGAAGATCAGTTTTTACGGGACCATACTAACTTACTTGCCTCTCTCTTGTTGTTGTGAAATGTATATGCCTCCGAAAGCAAGGGATATGCGCACAAGGTCCACAGCTCGTCGTTCTGGTGATGATGATCAGACCACTGAAACAACAGGAAGTGTGAATGGAGCCGAAATAAATCAGCTGCAGCAGCCAGCCCCAGTGAGCCCTCAGGAAGGGAATCCTACTGGAAATGTGCCTGTTTATGTGTCAGCCGCAGCCCATGTTGCTGTCTTGGAGGAATTGCGTCATTATCAGGATATGTATGGCCATATGAACCCTAGGCTAGGTGTGGATGCTCAGCAGCAGCATGTGCCACCACCAGTGTTTGTTCAGCCCCATAACGTGCCTCCACCTCCGTCGCCTCCTGCGCCTATTAATGTATTCAATCTGACGTATTATGAGGCCATAAGACACATGAGCGATATGGGGATGGAAGCTTTTGGTGGGAGATCTGATCCAGTGTCTGCTGACCATTGGAGAAAGAGATTGAAGAGGAATTTGGATTCCATGAGATTTCCATAAGGTTATCGGAAATATTTAGCTGTTCAGTACATTAAAGAAGATGCGCTGATATGGTGGGAAGGTATAGTGGAAGGAACTCATGGTCATTATGAGTTGAAATATAATGATTTTAAGGAAGCTTTCGCTAACGAGTACTTTCCACCTGAAGCATTGGACCAAATGGAGAATGACTTTGAGGACCTACGTCAGGAAAACCGTACTGTGAGAGAGTACAAAGATGAGTTCAATAGGCTGAGGATGTTCTCCAGGAAGCACTTTTTGCAGGCTGACTTGGTTCGTCAATTCTTGAAAGGTTTGAGGTTGGAATTGAAGAACATGTGTTCTATCAGGAGGTACCCCACTCTGGTGAGCTATTGAAGACAGCTGCCATTCAAGAGGCTGGTCTAGAGGAGCAAAGGAGGACCAGACAAGCTCAAGCTCGTGTATCCCGTGTTCAGAAAGCAACAAATCAGACTTGGGATGACATGACGTCATTGGAGACCACTGAAAATGTATCAGGTTGTCAACATTGTGGGAAGAGACACTTAGGAAAGTGTGGGGGTAATTAAGTGTTTCAGTTGTAGAAGCATAGGCCACCACGAGAAGGATTGCCCAAGAGCTGCAAGAATTGATAGATGCCACCACTGTGGAAGGAATGGTCACTATAAGAGGATTGCAGAGTGGCCTTGGGTAACCCACAAGGAGTGGGGGTAGCACCAGGAATGCTATCAGCACCACCGGCTAAGAGGCAAGCCGTTGGACCTCGCGTTTTCGCCATTGGAGATCCCGAAGGAGCAGCACCGATCGCTGGTAAGTGAATGTTTTTGAGTTGATTCTATATTTTACTTATGAAATAAGTGTGTAGAATGAAAATGCATAATTAGACATAAGTATAAATCATGTAGGATCGGTCTCAGTAGGAGGCGCGATTGCATACACTTTGTTCGACACCGGTGCTTGTTGGAGGTGAAAACCGCACCCCGGTTTTCTCCGGTACAAACCGAGATCGGCATAACATAAGCCCGGTTTACGAAGGGATGTACCGAGAAAGATGGGCCGAGTGAAACATTGGGCCGAACACAGCCCAATAGGCCGAGATCGGTGAGAAACCTCTCAAAGGAATGGAAGGTTTCCCTGAGCTCGGTCGAAATAGGAAAGTTTCCTAACGGAAAAAGGAAACTTCAGAGAGAAAAGGAAAGGAACCGAGAGAAAAGGAAAGTCCTCTCGGTCCCATATCGTCGAAGATGTATTTGAAGACCGACTCAAAGGATATATATAAAGGGAGACGAATCGACACCGAAGAAGACACAAGATATTCCCGAGAAGACTGAGAGACTGAGAACTCATTCTGCTAGATTCTTAGTTTCGATAAGTCTAAGTTCGTTATTACTTACCTGAATAACCGAACTCAGTTGTATTTGTCTGATTTGATCTAATAAAAACCGAGCTTCCGATCTAAAAGTACTGTTCTGTCCCTTGTCGATATTCACATATCAACAATTGGCGCGCCAGGTAGGGAGACTTAAACAGATTTCTCAAGTTTTAGATCGGACTTCGGAAAGATTGAATCAGCGATGGCAGACCAAGCCAACATTCATGAAGAAGGAAACCCTCTCGGTGGAGAGAACGCTAACGCCCCAACAGAGCAAGGAGGAGGAACTCCTGGAGAAAACGCTGGAACTGTAGCCGGCCAAACCCCCGCAGCCGTAGGAGGTTATGGAACCGAACTACTGCTCCAAGTGTTCAATGCCCAGTTTGAGGCCATCAACAAAAGAAGGGAGGAGCGCTTCAGTCAGATGGCGGCACAAATCGCCGAGCTCAGTCAAGCACGAACTCCTCTTCGAGTTCGGAACATCATTGACGATCTTAATACCGACGGAGATCCAGCCGGAACTATGATGTCTACTGCAGTCGGGTCAGCGAATGCACCAGCATCGGATTTAAGCCGAGATGCCGAGTTCGAAGCAATGAAGGCGCAGCTTCGCGATATCACTTCAAAGATACATCAAGCAACAAGCGCGGCTCCAGAAATCGAGCGCGTCATTCAGGAAACGCAGAAGACACCCTTCACACCGCGCGTAGCAGGGACGCCGGTCAAACACATGGAGAAACTGAAGATAAAAGTCTACGAGGGCAATACTGACCCCCGACACTTCTTGACATCGTTCGGCATCTGCATGAACCGATACCAGTTCAAATCCGCCCGAAGAAAGAGACGCAGTTCAGTGTCAACTATTTGTGGAAAGTTTGGGAGGAGTAGATCTCGACTGATTCTCGCGACTCGAAGCCAATTCAATCGATAACTACAAGGAGTTAACGATGGCTTTCGTCAAACACTTTTCCATGTTCATTGGACAGAACACCAAGAACTCCGAGCTCTGGCAAATAGCCCAAGGACCAAGCGAGAGCCTTCGTGATTTCATCCAGCGCTTCAAGACGATCGTCGCTAATTGTACGATTAGCGATGAAGCCGCTCTCCTATGTCTTCAGAAAGGAGCTCGGATAAAGACTAGCTTCCGGAGCGCGATCACCCATAACCCTCCATAGACATTAGAAGACGCGTTGCACCGAGCTAATACTTACATCGCTGAAGAGGTAGAAGAAGCCGTTTACGAGCAGAGTTATTCAACGAAGCAACCCGAACGTCCGAAAACTGCGACTAATGAGCCGCAATCGGGACACGGTCGAGGGTATGAGAATCGCAAGAAGTTCTATGCTAATGCAATCCACCAACCGAACAAACAATGGAACAATAAGTGGGTCCGCGGTGAAGAAGATCAAGACGAATCATTGTTCTGCGAATTCCATAACCGTAGGGGCCACAGCACCAAAGAATGCAGACATCTGCGAGAATACCTACTCGGCCTATATCGAAAGGAACCGATCTTGGTCGACGATCTCCGATGTTCGAACGCGTCTAAGAGCGGCGGGCAACTTTCGATTGACAATCTCCGTCGTTCACACATGCCTCGACCAAACAATGAACAGCTTGAGAAAGCACTCGCCAAAGATCCACCAACTCCACCGGCTTTACCGACGTTACCACCGCCACCACCGAATCCGCCTGTTTTGCCCGAGCAACAGAAACGGAATCGTGACGACCGAGCACCAGAGAATCATGCTCCTAAGGCGCGGAAACGTGTCAACATGATAATGGGGGCAATCGAAGCTTGCAGTTATTCGGTTCGAGCCATCAAAGAGTACAGCAGACAGGCCGCCAGCGCGCCCAAAGCCCCGTAGGATCTGCCGAAGGGAACACCCTTGGTATTTACCGAGGCCGATACAATTGGGCTGCATAAACCGCATAACGATGCCCTCGTCGTCGAACTACTCCTCGACGATGTTGAAGTTAGCCGTATTTTGGTCGATACGGGTAGTTCGGTTAACATTATCTTCAAGAAAGCACTCGACCAGCTCGAGTTGGCATCAGATAGGATTGAGCCGCTTATCGAGCCACTTACCGGTTTCGATGGAGAACGTTGTATGACGGTCGGCATGGTCAATATTCCGATCTACCTCGGCGGAGTCGCAAAGATTATCCAGTTCCTTATCCTCGACAAACCAGCGATCTACAATGCTATTCTCGGTACGCCTTGGCTACACGCGATGAAAGCGGTCGCTTCGACGTACCATCAGTGCCTAAAGTTCCCGACGGTGTTTACACTCTCCGAGGAAACCAAGCCGTTGCGCGATCGTGCTACATAAACGAGTGCAGACTTCATTCGGCCAATCAAGCTTGTGTCATTAGTTCGTTAGGACCAACGGACAAGCTCGTCGTCCAGCAGACAAAACCTAAGCAGGAATCGATCGTTCAAGTTTGCATCGACGAACTAAGACCAGAGCGTCAAGTCGGAATCGGCGCCGAGCTCGATCCAGTCATCCGCGAGCCACTCATTCACTTTCTGAAACAGCATTCATCAACCTTCGCTTGGTCGGTAGAAGATATGCCCGGGATCGATCCACAGATCGCGTGTCACGAGCTCAACATTGATCCGACGTATAAGCCAATCAAGCAAAAACGCCGAAAGCTCGGACCAGAGAAAGCACAAGCCGTGAATGATGAGGTCGAGCAGTTACTCAAAGCCGGATCCATCACCGAAGTCAAGTACCCAGATTGTTTAGCAAACCCCGTGGTCGTAAAGAAGAAGAATGGTAAATGGAGGATCTGCGTCGATTTTACCGACCTCAATAAGGCGTGTCCGAAAGATAGCTTTCCCTTGCCTCACATCGACCGCCTATTGGAAGCGACTACCGGGAACGAACTACTCTCGTTTATGGATACATTCTCCGGGTACAATCAGATCCTTATGCACCCGCAAGATCGGGAGAAGACATCGTTCATCACGGACCGTGGCATCTACTGCTATAACGTCATGCCCTTCGGCCTGAAGAATGCTGGAGCAACGTACCAATGACTGGTAAACCGGATGTTCGCAAGCCAGCTCGGGCGGACTATGGAAGTTTACATCGACGATATGCTCGTGAAGTCGCTTATCGCTTCCGAACACGTCGGCCATCTTCGCACATGCTTCGATATTCTGGACCAATATGGTATGAAGCTTAATCCCACCAAGTGCACGTTCGGCGTGACATCTGGAGAGTTCCTCGGATACATTGTTACGCAGCGAGGCATTGAAGCTAATCTAAAGCAGATCGCAGCTATTCTCGAGCTCCCATCGCCGACAACCAAACGCAAAGTTCAGCGACTCACCGGACGTATCGCAGCACTTAATCGATTTATATCCAGATCGACGGACAAGTGCTTACCATTCTACCAACTTCTTCGCGGTAACAAACATCTTGAATGGAATGAGAAGTGTGAAGAAGCCTTCGTCGAGCTAAAGAAATACTTGTCCACTCCGCCAGTTTTATCCAAACCTGAAACCGGCGAGACACTCTATCTTTGTATCGCGATTTCGGAGTTCGCAGTCAGTAGTATACTTGTTCGAGAAGATCGTGGCGAGCAGAAGCCAATTTTCTACACAAGCAAATCCCTCGATGGATCGGAGTATCGTTATCCGACTTTGGAGAAATTTGCCTTTGCCGTGGTTATTTCTGCAAGAAAATTACGCCCGTACTTCCAATCTCACGCGATCGTGGTCCTGACCGATCACCCTCTTCGTACTTTCCTCCATAGCCCAAGTCAATCCGGACGACTCGCCAAGTGGGCCATCGAACTCAGCGAATACGACATCGAATACCGAGGAAGAACTGCAACGAAATCCCAAGTCCTGGCAGATTTCTTGGTTAAACTTCCACCGGAGCTCGTCGAAGCTAATCCGGTCGTACAACCCTGGATCCTTCACGTGAATGGTTCCTCGTCTCATAAAGGGTCTGGAGTCAGAATTCGTCTCAAATCACCCGAAGGAGAAGTTATCGAGCAGTCATTTCGACTCGGTTTCCCGGCGTCCAATAACGAAGCCGAGTACGAAGCATTGATTGTCGGACTACGACTTGCCAAAGATATCGCTGTCGAGCATGTGCACGCCTACTGCGACTCTCAACTCGTGGCTAACCAGTTTCACGGAGAATACGAGGCCAAGAATGACCGCATGGACGCATATCTCAAAGTCCTCAAAGATGTTGTTTCGGAGTTCTCTACCTTCGAACTTACAAAGATACCTCGAGATGAGAATGCAACCGCCGATGCCTTAGCCGCTCTCGCGACTAATTCTGATCCCGATCTTCGGCGAACTATCCCAATTGCAGCAATCGAGCAACCAAGTATCAAGCCCACTCCGAACTGCAGTATCATTACAAGACGGCGTGATAACGAAGCCCAACCCAATCTCGCTCCACCCCTCACCCGGAAGACGAAATCCAAAGAGGTCATTCCCGATCTCAATAACGACACGGACGAACTCAATGATAACGAATCCGATCCCAAGGAAGAATCCGAAGGCCAACATGTTCCAATCGATATCGAAGCCGAAGGAGACGACGAACCCGAAGATTGGACCTTAGAGATTGTGGGATACATCGGAGACGGAACAGTTCCCGCCGATAAATGGGTAGCTCGGTGTCTTAAGGCTCGCGCAGCTCGATATGTGGTCATTAGAGGTACTCTCCTCAGATGGGATGCGTCCGGTGTACTCTTGACTTGCGTTCACGGCAACGGCATCACGGAAGTAATGCAGAAGGTCCATGAGGGAGAAGGAGGAAATCACTCCGGAGCTCGGTCTTTGGCATTTAAGATCAAAAAAGCTGGCTATTACTGGCCTACTATGCTCTCTGATTGCGAGAAGAATACGGCACGCTGCGAGAAGAATACGGCACGCTGCGAGAAGAATACGGCACGCTGCGAGAAGTGCCAACGTCATGGTCCAATGATCAATCTTCCTACCGAGCTCCTGATGACCTCGACCGCACCATATCCTTTCATGCGCTGGGCAATGGATATTATCGGTCCCTTTCGCCGATCTACAACTCAGAAGCAATATGTTTTGGTCGTCACGGACTACTTCACTAAACGGGTTGAAGCCGAAGCATACCCCGAGATTCATGGAATCGATGTCAAGAAGTTCGTCTGAAAGTTCATCATCTGCCGACACGGAGTCCCGTACGAGATCGTTACGGACAATGGAACCCAGTTCACTTCGATCATTTTCACAGATTTTTGTGCCAAATGGAAGATTCGACTAAGTTTCTCTACCCCACGATACCCGCAAGGAAACGGACAAGCTGAAGCCACAAACAAGACCATTATTGATGGACTGAAGAAGCGACTCGATACCGCTAAGGGAACTTGGGCGGACGAACTTGATGGCGTCTTGTGGTCTCACCGAACTACACCACGACGTTCGACCGGTCAGTCACCATTCTTCCTTGCATATGGCACAGAAGCTATGTGTCCAGCCGAACTCAACGTCCCAAGTATTCGCCGAACTATGCTTACCCAGCAACCCGACGCGAATAACAACATGATGATTGACGCACTCGACTTAGTCGAAGAACACCGCGAACGAGCATTGCTCCGAATACAGAACTACCAGCAACTTGCAGCTCGCTACTACAACAAAAAGGTTAAAGGCCGTCACTTTGAAGATGACGATCTCGTACTGCGCAAAGTCTATCAAAATACAGAAGAAAAGAACGCAGGAAAACTTGGTGCGAACTGGGAAGGACCGTACCAAGTGATGAAGGTGGTTAAGCCCGTATCAACTTATGAAGTTAGACGGAACTCCGATCCCCCGATCTTGGAACTCAATGCATCTCAAACGCTACTACTACTAGTTCGTTGCGAACTCCCAAAAAAAAAAAAAAAAAAAAAAAAACCTCCAAACTACTTAGTCGGAGCAAAAACAATTTTGTACTTAGAACTACGAATGGCTTGATCCCTTTAAAGGGTACGTAGGCAGCTCGTTACCGAGTCCAGCTATAACATCAATAAAATTTTATTATGTCAAAATCTGTCTAAGATCTAGTTCTGAAATCACAAGGTCCGAACTCCTTGTTCTTACATCGACTTCCTGGCCAGTTATTCGATAGCATTCCACATGAATGCAAACTTAAAAGCCGAGATCCGTCTCGCGAGCACCCACATGGTATCGTGGTAAAACCACATGTTAAAAGCCGGGCCCAGTCCCGCAGTTAAATTTCTAAGTCACCAAGAACAATAAACCGAGCACATCTCGCATACTTAGGTTCGACGTAGAAAACCTTGAACTCGTTTCGTGCGTTTACAGGAGTTCGAGTTAATTCACTCTTCCAGTACGAAACGATTCACTTGGGTTCCCCAGGCCGAGCTTAAACGCTCGCACAATAAGCCGAACACCTCAGATTCGCACCATAAGCCGAGTTCACAACACTCGCAAAACGTAAGCCGAATTATCGCAATTCGCTATCGAAAAAAATAAATAAATAAAAGTTATGTTCGAATATCATCTACTATATACCGATCTAGTACTTAAGCATTAATCACAAATCATTACCGACGTAAGAGGGTCGAAAGTTAAGTTAGATACCGATCTACTACTTAAAGGATTTTCTAAGTTATCAAGACAAGAAAGAAGACGAACGAGCATATAATTAAAAGCCTCTCGAGAGGCAAATAAGTTCAAAAGGAACTCACCGAGGGTTCAGAGAAACATAAATATTACAAAATAACCCATGAAAGGGCAGTTAAGTTCGATTAAAAAGAAAAAGAGAAAGACTAAGCAGTCTTCGAAGTAGCAGCCCGATCAGCGTTAAGGATGTCCTCGTTGGAACCAAACTGCTCGCCCCTCGCAGGATCCTGCGCGCTCTGGGTCACGTTCGCGGCCGGAATGTCATCCTCTTCCACGAATGGAGACATCCGCTTATCCTCTTCAGTAAGGATGCAAGCATCGACCGAGCGGAAGTCCTCCAAAGTTTTAGCATGTTTTGCCTCGATATCAGCCACCATCTCAGGCGGGACCTCGTACAAGCCTTTCTTCTTGAGCTGCTTGATGAAGCCGAGAACTCCGGTGAGCTAGTTGACCACCAGGTATGGCTTACGAGCTCGATCAGCATCGTTTAAGTTCCGGATGACTTTCTCTAAGCGCTCGCAGGCCTTCGCGTGAACGCTCTTAGCTCGATTCTTCTAGTGCGATACCAAATCCCGCAGCCGTTCTCGATCCTTCTCGAACTCTTGAACAAGTCTGTTCTGGGCCTCGGTGAGCTCCTTTCTCACCGCTTTTAGTTCAGCACTCTCTTGCTTCAGTAAATCAACTGAAGAATGGGGAGTGTCGTTGATTTGGAGCTCGGTGGCAAGGCGCTCTTCTGCTTTGGAGACCCTTTCCTCGAGCTCAGCAACCCTAACTTGCTCGTCATAGAGAGCTACCTTGTACGCGGCAACCAGAGTGTTGGTCTGGCTGGCGAGCTACCAAAAATAAAACATGGGTTAGAACTCATACTTACGAAAAATATCAAAATAAAGAAAAGGAATAGAGGAAGTACCACGGCAGTTGTGCGAGCAATCCCCTTGTACAAGTTGGGGAACCGGAGCTCGGAGATAGCCGGAAGACTCGGCACATCAGAGGAGATCTTGTGATAAAGATCGGTGCAAGCGTCGACGTTCTCCTCAAAAGAACCCTCTTCGTCGTAATCAAAGCACACCTTGGTCCTTTTGGCTGGCTTCGGTCCTGGAGAGCCTTCGGCTTGGTCTCTCATCTGCCTCTTCCAAGAGTGAGAAGCTTCAGCCTGGTCGCGAGGAATTGCGAGGTCCGACGTCGCGATTGTAGGAGGCTCGAGCTCGATAGCTGCGTCCTGTGCTCGAGAAGAGTCTTCAATCTTCTTAATCTTTTTTGAAGATTTTTTTTCTTCAGTTTCTTCTGACCGGCTTGGTCAGGTGAGTTCGCAGCAGGTGGCAACTCCTCCGACTGCTCATTGATCCCTCCGGTAGCATGGATTGGGGTCGGGTCAGCCACGTTCGGTTCCTCTTCGCCAAAGAGAGTTGGGATCTCGTCCAATGAGAGCATCCTTGCAGCTCGGGTTTGTTGGGCTCGCGAATTAGGTGATCTTCGTCTTGGAGCAGCTCGGGGCTTGTTAGCTCGAGCTTTCGGCTTTCGCGATTTCGGTTCCCGGACAGAAGCTGCAATGAAAATATGTCAAGGACGAGTTCGGAGTAAACTCAAGATAAGAACATGAAAGTAAGCTCGATGATCAAACCTGCTTTCTTAGATCGGCGTTGGAGAATCTCTTCCCACACCTCAGGCCAACGACGCTTACCAGCTTCGCTGAAGGCTGCTTCGAACTCAGAAGTAAGCCCGGAATTGAGAATAAGACTTGGAAGATGACGACCTGTAAAGATGAAACGAAGTAAGGTTAGCGAGCAACAAAGTCGGAACTTAACTGAGAATGAGATCATCTAATCTATCAATCGGAATCTTCCACTCCGATTGAGTTGGTATGTCATAATTGCTGACGGTGAGATCGTTCATTTCGAGATAAAAATACAAGGATTCCCAGTCGTTGAATTTACTGGGTTTAGGCCCAGTAACTATGTTCTTCTTCGGCTTAGCGTTTGCGGCGAAGAACCACTCCTTGGATTTGTGGATGTTTACCGAGAAGAGGTCCTCAAACAGTCGACTGAAGGGGACCTCGCCAAGCTCCTCGCATAAGGTAACGAACCCTACGTAGTTCGTTACCCTACGTAGTTCGTTACCGATGCTGGCATCACCTGTGTAAGAGCTACACCGCGCCGGTTGCAGTACCCGAGGAGACGAGAGGGAATAGGAAGCGAGAGCCCGCACTGCGTGAAATAGGTCAAGTAGACGCAGAGGAAGCCTTCGGGCACGTCCCACGGCCGATCTCCAGCTTCGGGAATTATGAAGGCAACCTAGTCCGAGAGCCTATTTTCTTCGAGCACGGCCTGAATAGCACCCGATGTAACCGAGGAAGATGGTACGTTGTTGGGACGAACGATCCTTCGTCTTGGAAGCGGTGGTGAAGCGTGGTTCACCGCATCGAGGTTGTCCTCGGCAACCTCTGCCTCAGTAGCGTTCTCTTCCTCATTCTCTCCTTCAGGTTCTTCGATCTCCTCGATCTCATGATCATTACCGCCAGCGTCCGGCCCGGTCCGAGCTACCGTTTCACGAGTCTCTGTAGTCAGGTGCTCGGTGGCTTCAACCCTAGATCTAGCACGGCTGCTGCCAGCTTCCACCGACTTGGAGTTCTTACGAACTAACTGTGGAAGATTGCTCTCTTCCTGAGACGAACTCGATTGATGAGGATTTGAAGAGGATGAGCTCGGCTCTGAGGGTTCGCGGCGATCTTCCGGAAGGATTTGATTGGAAGAAGAGTTAATAGAGGAACTAGAAGACATTTTGAGCTCGGAAGAGTAAATTCGAAGGAGATCAAAGAAGAATGAAGAACAGCTTGAAGATCAACTGGAAAAGATTGAAAATTGATCGGAAAGTTTGAAGATCGAACGGGAAGTTTGAAGATTGATCGGAAAAATCGAAGGTTTGCGGCGGCGAAAGATGAAGAAACGAGAGAGAACTACGAATACAAACTAGAGAGAGAAACAAAAAGCTAGAGAGAAGGGAGAGCAGCGTACCTTATATATGCTTGAGCGAGAGTAATGAATGTGAAGAGGAGTTTCCCCCTTTATAAACAGTGGAAATTGTGGGTTCCTCGATTTTCGCGAAAATCCCGTAATTCACGCGCCTCATTGAAGACAGGCGCGAAACGTCCGGGAATGTGAATCGACAGCAGTTACCGAGCTCGGTTTGTGATCCGATAATCGAAGAAACAAGTTCGACTGAAAGTCACCTCCTTTCACCGAACTGAGGGGGGGCTAACTGTTGGAGGTGAAAACCGCACCCCGGTTTTCTCCGGTACAAACCAAGATCGGCATAACATAAGCCCGGTTTACGAAGGGATGTACCGAGAAAGATGGGCCGAGTGAAACATTGGGCCGAACACAGCCCAATAGGCCGAGATCGGTGAGAAACCTCTCGAAGGAATGGAAGGTTTCCCTGAGCTCGGTCGAAATAGGAAACTTTCCTAATGGAAAAAGGAAACTTCAGAGAGAAAAGGAAAGGAACCGAGAGAAAAGGAAAGTCTTCTCGGTCTCATATCGTCGAAGATGTATTTGAAGACCGACTCAAAGGATATATATAAAGGGAGACGAATCGACACCGAAGAAGACACAAGATATTCCCGAGAAGACTGAGAGACTGAGAACTCATTCTGCTAGATTCTTAGTTTCGATAAGTCTAAGTTCGTTATTACTTACCTGAATAACCGAACTCAGTTGTATTTGTCTGATTTGATCTAATAAAAACCGAGCTTCCGATCTAAAAGTACTATTCTGTCCCTTGTCGATATTCACATATCAACAGTGCTACTCATAGCTTTGTTAGCCCGAGGTTGACTAAGTGTTGGACCTTCTCCGGAAAGTTCATTCCAAGATATAGAGAAGTGGAGACTGCCGGGAATAAACATATAAAGTCCATTGGTGTACATGAAGATGTACTTATATTGTTAGAGGGAGCAAGACTTCCATGGACTCTAGTGGAAAGGAAGTTAAGCCACTATGATATTATTTTTGGAATGAATTGACTGAAGCATTATGGAGTCGTTCTGAATTGTCATAAGACAATAGCCTATATTCCGCAGCAAGGAGGAAGATTTATTTGCTTTTAAGACTATTTCATATTTTAATTTAAGACATTATTTTTCATTGATTTGGATTTCTTTAAGAAGTTTTATTTGGATTTGTAAGACTATGGATTTGGTTTAGTTTTAAAATAAGAATAAGAAGTTGTTCAGGAATTTGAGTGTTGGTTTAGCTAATACCATCAGTTTTATCTGGTTTCTTTTGGGAAGTCAGGATCGGGGTGTTACAAAAGGCGACCAATTTTTTTATTGAGTTAGTCACAAGCTGCTTCA